GGTTTGGTTTGTCAACCTCCTCCAGATGAGACTCTGCCTTTCAGCATAACCTCGTCTGGGTTCCTCTCTGCCTGATGCTTATATTACTACTGGAACAGTCCATTTAATAGAGGGGTATCCGTTCTTTGTTTATTGAGGTTATCATTTTCCCTACAACAATATTTTGATAGTTTTTATATGCAATTTCTCTCACCACAAATTTCAAAAGATTTGTAATCAAAGTTCTTTGAACTCACAAATGACAGGCTTCCATTCAAATCTTACTTTTAATTATGCTGTATTGTCTGTTCTAATAGCTTGCTTTACTGTGTAACTTGGAGCAAGGAAAGCAAGTATTGGCAGAGATAAAACAGAAACATACGTAGAAACAATAATAGATTTATTTGGTTGTCATGTTACCTTCTTCCCCTTTCCCCGGGCAGACAACTTCACTCTTTTTCCGAGAGTTAGCGCCTCTTCTTTTTAGTGTGATGGCAAGTTTTGTGTTAGGGGTTTACTTGTAGCCGTTTGGTGGAATGTCACACTCTAACTGACTTTCTAGTTTTCATCCCTCGAGGTTTAGGTCTATATTCCACACTTGTGTTGTTTTGTGTGGATATTGCAAATTTCCCCCAAGGCAGATCAAAAGTGTTCAGCAAAATGTTGAGTCTAAGATCTGACCTTTGGCTCGTTGATATTGCAAGTTTAGAAAAGCGTAACTAGTTTGTATACCATTCCCAAATGGAAGATTGCACGCTGACATTCTGAGTGACGTTTCCGTTTTGGCGCAAGATGTAACGTTGTGTTCACTTCTTTGTCATTTCGGTGGTTTTTTACTAAGACCTGTTGGCCCGGTTTGAAAGTACAATTTACTGCACTATGATGGCAGTTGAATTCTTCCATTGCCATGTTTCTCTTGAGAGAATTGTGTGCACTTCGACCTATGACGTTTACATATAGCCGAACTTTGGGGCTCATCAGAGCCTCGGCAGGTGAGCTATCGTTTGGGATGTTTGTGTTTGGTGTGACTCTGTAACTTGTTAGGAATGTCTTCAATTTTAACTTTTTGAATGCCCTTTTAAAGGTATTCACAAATTGCTCAACTTTGATTGTGGATGGAATGGTGGTGTGTATATGTGTTTGATACCATTCTACTGGCAAAACTCTGAAAATTTTGCTGAAGTGAAAGCAGAGCCATTGTCAGAGACTAAAGTCTCTAGGACTCTGAATCTGTTGAAGATGTACTGTAATTTCAGAATGGCTTCCTCAAAGGTGATGCGACTCACTGGAAAAATTTCAGGCCATTTACTATAGGTATCCACTAGTAACGTAAAACATTTTACATTCTCGGGGATTTTGCTACTAAATGACATTTTCTACAGTTATGAACAATGCCTTCTAATTGCTTGTCCATGTTTTAACCAATAAACATAACTATGTGCCAAAGTCTTTATGGGGCTGCCCTGATGACCAAAATGAAATTGTTTTAGAACCCTATTTTGTAAAGTTAATGGAACAATCATATGTTCCCCCAAAAGAATACAGCCATCCACTATGGACAATGAAGATTTACGATGGTAAAAATGTTGAAGATCTTTACTTGGACCTGCTTGAGGCCACTAGTGAATAGTGAGTATTGAATCACCTTTTGCTACAGTAGGTCAGAAGCTGTGGCCTCTTGGATCATCTGGGAGTGAGCTGTAAGCACTGAAACAATCCCTGTTTCCACTGATACTGCAGCAACAAGGAAATCTTCAGATAAATTCTGGTGTGCATACATAAGCCTGGCCAGTTGAATTTGTTGATTGATACTTTATTGAAAAGTAATAATCCATTAAGATTGGAGCGCATCTTTGTAACTGAACAGGAATAATTTTTTTTTATCCCAAAATATTAACTAGGGATTTGTGGTCATTAATCAAGATAAATTTACATCCATAAAGTATTTGCGAAATTTCTTTATGGTAATTATAATTGACAAAGTTTCCTTCACAATTTGACCATAGTTCCACTCAGCAAGAGTCAAAGATCTTACTGCACGACCAATGGCCTTCTGACTACTGAAAAGAGATCCGATTTCCTTGGTGATTTTGCTGCTAAATATAATCCAGAACTCTTTTCTTGGCCTGTCCCGGATTCCCCTTAGTCACGTCTTCGTATTAATTTTGCAGGACCTATTGTTGGGGATGCGCAGAATGAACTAAGATTTTTGCTATGGTGTTAGAATATATCAGAAGGAATTTTTTTTGTCAGGTTGCGTGATCTTCTCTTGCATCCACAACAATAAATAATACTTGATATAAAACAAGGCAAAACATGTACGCAATTCAAACAAACAAATGCATTGATATACAATACAAATACTATGTATAAAATATTTTTACAAGATATTGTTGTGTTGGTATGTTTGTCGGTGAATGAAGATTTTAGTTTGATTTTTGGGGTTTTTGTATTACAGTCTATAAGAATTCGTAATTAGTGTTTAAAATACCGTTATTATGTTTTTAGAATGGAGTCATTCAGAAGTAGTCTACCCTTAACTGTAAGTATGAAATATGTTCAATAATAGTATTTACTTAAATTGTAGTGAGCGTTAATAATTCACTTTGGATAAGTAAAGTCTTGCGAGTTGAAGTTCTTTGTATTCACAGAGTAATCTTTGAGTCGAGTTTGTGGGTGAGTCAGTTGTGGTTTCGTTTGCGCGGGAAAATTATAATCGCAAGTGACGTGGATTAGATTAGCGCTTCTCTGTGTTTGCTGGACTGACTGATTTATCGTAGATGGTCAAAGAGAATGTATACACTGCGTGCCAAATTATTATTGAGATAACTTTTTTTCTAATATTTCAAAAACCGTCCAATCAATTCACACAAAGTTTTCACACAACGTTGGCAACACTGACCTGAGCAATCACTGAATTTTTCGTACTGATCTGCGCATTGGAAACAAAGTGGCGCCATATTTGTTATCAGCACGGTGATTTGAGAGTGCCAAATTATTAGAAAGGTTTAGTAAAATTCCCAGAATTGAGCAAACATGTTGTAGACTCGTCCTTTTCTAACTATCACTCCTAGTAACAGAACAAGTCTATACCTTACGCCTACGTACGGAAAACTTCGACCAATAAAAAACCGTACTAGGCGAATCAACAAATCTCATTGGTTAACGACACAATAATCTGAAAGTTTCACGTGCAAAACAAAATTGCGCCAAAACTTCTTTGAGCCGATTTTGGACTTTCAAAAACATATAAAAGAAAACACCGACTGACCAAGAGGCTCAGAGACGAACATCCACAGAGAAATTTCCAACATACTCCACGTCACTCGAAATCACGACATTACCACGCAAAAGTACATCAACGCTGACTCACTTGCAATTTAAACTCGACCAACTCTGTGGACATCCAATCGCAAACATAAAACAACTTTGCTTATCCAAAGTGAACTATACTCACTACATTATTAAGTAAAAATCAACATTCGAACGATTCAGAAATATGACAGTCAAAGGTAGACCACTCTATAAGAACTCATTCCTAAAAACACTTAACATCGACATTTTTAATGTTAATTAACACAATTCCAGAAAAACTGTAACTGAATATACAAATACAAAAAGAGACATACCGAAACCTCAGATATCACACACACTTTGCCATAGTAACATATACCAAAATATCCTGTATATATATTACTTTTAATTGTATATAAATGTTTTGTTGGTTTCTAAATTGAATATGTCTTGTTTTTGATTGTATTTAAAATTCGTTTATTTATTTGTTTGTGGATACAGAAAGTCACACAACCTACACAAATTCCTTCTGATTCACTCAATTACAATTAATTAATTCTGAACATCCCCAACAAAATTGGTAACCCCGACGTTCAAGCAAACGGCACCAATAAAATAGGTAACCCCGACCTTCAAGCAAACAGCACCAATAAAATTGGTAACCCCGACATACGTAAAGAAAAATTGGCGATCCCGACGTGCGAAAAGTAAAGTAAAAAAATCTCCAATAAATTAGCAACCACCTGTAATGTTCTGCGCAAGAGGCTATCGATGCTTGCTAGGCATCGATTAATGCGTTGATAGGATGTTAGGATGATTGTTGATTGTCCCTCCGGTGATGGTAGCCTCCTATTCCCCTTTTGCTGCCAAGCTGCTGATTAAGATTCCGGATGTCCGGAGGGGACCTAACTCTTGTGTCTCTAGGGGTTATCTCCCTTCTGTTGCTGGGATATTCCAATGCTTTCTTTCTTTTTTTTCTTTTTTTTTGGTCCGGCCACAGCCATTCTAAAGCCAAATCTTCGGATGAGCTACTTTCCAAGCCATCTTCGGACTTTCCAAAGCTGCGAGAATCAAGCAAATCAAAATTGGAATCATCAGAATGAAGATCTTCTTCATCACCCTGCAATGTGAGATTCTGAGTGGAAGAAATAGTTATGGTCTGGTTTGGAGAAGAATCAAGGTCTTGGTCAGATGAAGTGTTGGACATTTTCGAACGTCTGGCATCAGTTCTAGAGGTTTTGTTATGAATTTTCTTGCGTGACTGTCTAAGGTGTAGCATTTTCTGGATGGAGTTGAGGGGAGACATGACTTGTGGCTCTGACACAGACGGTTGTGGACAAAGTGCCGACTTACATTTTGTTGACATCTGTTGGACATTTGAAGAGGAGTACAATGGATTTTGAAAATCTGTTGAAGCAACTGTTGTTGGACGTTTCTTAACTTTTTGATAAAACTTGAGAGCGTCTTCATAAACATCATTTTGAGGACGCAAATATGTTGCATTTTGTGACAATCTCTTAATTGTTTTGTTGGAAACTGCTAGAAGCAGTTTGTGGATAAGTTGATGAAGGAGTGGCAGGAAAATTCTGTTGACAACATTTAAGCTTCCATTCATTTATTTCATGTGACATTCTCTTCATTTCTGTGCACAGCATTTCTTGCATTTGGATGAAGTGTCTCTCCAAAGACAAATGGGATTTTCGTCGTTCGTTATCCAAAAGAGATGATTACTGGTGAATATTGGTGTGGGCGGTCATCAATTCTTGTTTATAAAGAGCGTTTTCAGCTTCAAGTTTCTGAACTGTGGAATTGATTTTGTGGAGAGTTTGTGATTGTTCATCAAGTTGCCTTTCTATTTGGTTGGGAAGCCCCAAAAATAAAGATGAACTCCTGTTTGCTGGAGTATCCATTTCAATTGAAGGTGGCAAGTTCCAAGCTCCAGCTGTGTGGAACACGTATTCTGTATCACTACCACTGCTACGTGGGTTCCGTTGGTCGTTTTCAATGCGGTTCACTGAGCGTCGATTGGTCTGTGTTCGTGGGGGACGATTTGTTTCCCGTTGTCTGTTTCCGTCGTTTAATCTTCTGAAACAGACAGAGGTGAAGTGTCCCCACCTTCCGCAGTATGTGCACTGGGTATGAAATGCAGGGCAAGACGTCGGTCCCCGCTCATGAGGGTATTTTCCGTTGCAATTCCTGTACTGGTATTGCCGGGGATAGTTGCTTGGTTGGCGCTGTTCGTCTGCGACTTTGTTTATTGGGGCGGTTGTAGCAGTAGCGATGTCTTCCAGTTGCATTGTTTGTAGGTGCGACGCTATCGTCTCCGTTGTCCTTGCGTAGTTTATTAAGTCATGTAGTGACATATCTGAATTCATGAGTCCCTTCTGGCGGACTTTTTCCGACAGGCAGCCTGTAATTAATTGGGACTTCACCTCGGAATCCATGTCGGAAAAACGGCACATAGCCGCAGCTTCCTTTAGTTTGCGGTAGAAGTCTTCGATGCTTGGGCTATTTTGTTTAATTTTTCGGAACACAAATCGGTTGTATTCCGTGTCGTTTTCAGGGTTGAAGTGGTTGTGCATCGCTGAGACTAGCTTGTCGAAATGTGTTTCATTTTTTTCCGGTGTGACTCGCTCCTGTGGTATTTCGTCGATGATTTCATTCGTAGCCTCGCCGACAAACGTTAGTAGGATTGCTTTTTGCCGTTTGTCATCCTCAATGTTATGTGCGACAAAATAGTTTTTCAGTCTTTTTACGTATTTTGTCCATCTTGCTGCTTTGGCTGTTGACTCACAATCAAATTCGGGGTAGTGTGGTACGGCGGCCATATTGGTTATATATCGAACACGTGTTGAATTTTTTTTTTTTTAAGTGTGTTGATGTTCTGTTTTTGTGAGGGTAATGACTCAGTCCTCGTCGCCAATGTAATGTTCTGCGGAAGAGGCTATCGATGCTTGCTAGGCATCGATTAATGCGTTGATAGGATGTTAGGATGGTTGTTGGTTGTCCCTCGGGTCATGGTGGCCTCCTATTCCCCTTTTGCTGCCAAGCTGCTGATTAAGATTCCGGATGTCCGGAGGGGACCTAACTCTTGTGTCTCTAGGGGTTATCTCCCCTCTGTTGCTGGGATATTACACCACCGACGTGCGAAACAACGACATTGATAACCTCGACGTACGAAAGATCCAACAAGAATGACGACCCCAACGCGCGGGAAGAAATTAAATCGACACGTGTTGTCTTTGAACCGACAGATCGAAGATCCAGAAATAAAACCACGACTTTATAAATGGCTGATCCAGTTCGTCTCACAGAAGCAGCAATCAGGCTTGAAATGCCTGCCTTCAACCCAAACGTTCAGACGTGGTTTCTACAGTTGGACGCGATATTTCAGGCCAGACACGTAACTTCGCAGCAGTCAAAATTTGCGTCCGTGGTAGAGAATTTACCCGCGGAGGTAGCGGCTGAAGTAGCCGACATATTAACCTCTCTAACAACAGACAAGCCGTACGAGACCCTCAAACAAGCAATCCTGCATCGGACCGGATTTTCGGAAGAAAGAAATATAAGAGATCTCTTAACAAATGTAACAATCGGAGATTCAAAACCGTCCCAATTACTACGACGCATGCAACAACTGTTGGGTGACAACAACATATCCGCCACAGTGTTTCGCCAAATGTGGCTGGACAAATTATCACCAGAAATGGTACGAATCTTGGCTGTATTAACAGACGATGTTGACAAAATTAGCAATGATAGCAGACAAAATAGCCGATACTGCCCCGATACGACAAATTTCCTCAACAGAGACTGTGGATGGCCTTGTGCCAGATGTCAACCAACAAATTCAAAAATTGTCCTCAGAACTAAAACGAATATCTCTACAACTGCAAGAATTACAAAAACCACATGAAAGTCGACGTGATAATTTTACGCAACACAGAAACCGTGGTTCAAGATCGACGTCTCGCCATTAATACCCACAACGCCGAGATCATTACCAACATGCCAATTGCTGGTACCACGAAAATTTTGGCGCGCGCGCGAAGAAATGCCGACCACCATGTTCGTATGAAAAGTCACTTCTAAACAAACAAGCGGGAAACGGACTCGCTGGCATCCAGTAGAGACGTTGGATGTCAGATATTTAAAAACTAATCATCTCTTTTATATCCACGACAGAGCGAGCGGTTTAAAATTTTTAATTGACACCGGTGCCCAAATAAGTGTCCTGCCTTTCAAAAATTACAGCAAGCAGACTCTGGCCAAGCATACATCTTTCAAATTACAGGCGGTTAATGTCACTCCGATCACCACGTACGGCGAGCGAACCCTAACGCTAGACATCGGCCTGAGACGAGAATTTACGTGGACTTTTACTATCGCAGATGTTGCAATGCCGATCATACGAGCGGATTTCCTAACCCATTACAAACTATCCGTTGAGTTGGCGTCACAAACTTTAACTGACACTAGCACTAATCTACAACGTTGCGGTTTTGTTGGGGACGTGCAGAGTTTGTTAATTATGTTAGAAAGAATCAGAAGGAATTCGAGTGACTTTCTGCATCCCAAATAAATAAATAAATAAATGAAATTTAAAATGCAATTGAAAAACGAGACATATTCAAGTAGAAATCAATACAACATTTATATACAAATCAAACAATATACAGACAGGATAATTGATGTATGTTGTGTAGGCGAAATGTGTATGCGGTTTCTTCAGATTTCAGAATGTCTCCCTTCGTAATTGTTCGTTCATTTGGAGTATTTTTTGTTTGTGTCGATATTTGCGATTGTTGATATTAAGTGTCTTATAGAAAGAGTTTTTTAAGAGTGATCTACCTTTAACTGTAATATTTTTCTAAGGTCGTTCGTTCGTAGAGTTTACTTAATAAGTATTTGATTCACTTTAGATAAGCAAAGTTGAGAAATGATGTACACAGAGTTGATTGAATCTTGATGAGTCAGCGATGTATCTTCGTGCGCGGCAAAATTGTGATTCGTAGTAACGTGGAGTATTTTGGAAAGTTCTCTGTGAATGCGTGTTACTGACTGCATAAAGTTGGTAATTGTCTTTAACGTCTGGTCAGCAATGACTAAGACGGGGGTCGGTGAATGTTACATCTTGAAACTTGGTAATTACTGTTCGGAAGGTTCACACGTTTTCTGTTTATATAATCACTGAGTGGCTCCCAGCATAAGAGCGGGAAAACAGCTTGGTCGCGTGCAGGCGGTTTGATTGGTCGGAACTGACCAATCAGCAAGCCAGATTGGAGGTGATTGACCAATGAATACTTGTTATATTGTCTGAAGGTAGAATTTGGCTTACTAGATAGGAAGAGTGTATTTCCTACAAAGAGGTAAGGCTGGTTGTGCTGTGGGAGATTCTACAGTTTCATTTCTAAGTATTCGACAATCGGTCTGACTACTGTTATACCTACAGCGAATGGCTACAATGAGATAATACGTCAGTACCAATCGCTACTGTCACTGTCAACCCATAATGAACCTGTGAAACACCACGCCACTCATAGTATTATGACCATAGGACCTCCAGTTCATTCTCAATCTCGCAGACTCCATCTAAAAATAGCTCGCGACGAATTTGACAACATGCTCAAACTTGGTGTAATCCGTCCTTCAGCCAGTCCTTATGCCAGCCCTCTACATATGGTTGTTAAAGCTGACTCAGCTAGTTGGCGTCCGTGCGGCGACTACAGGTTACTAAACGCGCAGACCGTCCCGGACAAATACCCAATCCCGCATATTAAAGATTTCGCCCTTTCGCTAGAAGGTGCTAAAGTATTCACCAAGCTAGATCTTAAAAAGGCATATTACCAGATCCCCATTGAGGAAGCAGACATCCCGAAAATTGCTATTACAACGCCTTTCGGACTCTTCGAATATACGAGTATGCCCTTCGGATTGCGTAATGCGGCGCAGTCTTTCCAGAGGCTAATAGACGAAGTTCTACGCGGAATGCCCTACACATATGCTTATATAGACGACGTACTCATAGCAAGCAAGTCTCATGAAGAAAACCGTGAACATGCAGTTCCCAAAAGATTACAACACTACGGTCTAAAACTAAATATTGATAAATGCGTTTTCGCAGTACCGAGTTTAACTTTCCTCGGGCACATTTTAGACCAACATGGATTGACTCCCTTAGATCAGAAAATTACTGCGATAGCTAATTATCCTCCACCTTCCACATTGAAGCAATTAAGAAGATTTCTGGGAATGATTAACTACTATCGACAGTTCATCCCGAATTGTGCGTCAATTTTATTACCACTGACGAATATTTTGTCTCTGCATAAAAGAAAAAAATCGCAGATATCACTATCACAAGATGAGCTACGATCATTTCAAAATGCAAAAGATGCACTACAGAACTGTGCCAAACTAACTTACATTAACTCATCGGAGAAAGCTAAACTCACATTAACAACAGATGCATCAGCCGACACAGTTGACGCTGTGTTACACCAAATTACTAATGGCATCGAAACACCTTTGTCGTTTTTCTCACTCAAGCTAAATTCTGCGCAGAAGAAATATAGCACATTTTCCAGAGAATTACATGCCGTTTATTTGGCGATACGGCATTATCGACAAATCCTTGAGGGTAGGGTCTTTATTATTCTCACCGATCATAAGCCGTTAACTTATGCACTGCACGCGAAATCCGATAAACTAAACCCTAGAGATATTCGCTACCTGGATTACATCAGTCAATTTACATCGGACATTCGATTCGTAAAAGGACAGAATAATACCGTTGCAGATGCATTATCGAGACCTACGCTTGATGTGATACAATCATCCTCACTCGAATTCGACACACCAGCTGAAGAGCAGTTGAGTGACGACACACTCCCTTCAGTGCAGGCAGATACCTCTTTGAAACTAGAAAAACGTCTATTCCCTTTCACCGACAAGCTTGTTTATTGTGATGTCTCAACAGGCAACCCTCGACCTTACCTGCCTCCGTCGATGAGAAAAACAGTTTTCGATCATTTTCATTCACCAGCTCACCCTGGAGCGAAGGCTACGCTGCGGACCATATCTGACAGATTCGTCTGGCCCCGTATGGCTTCCGACGTGAAACAGTGGTCCCGCACGTGCCAGCGTTGCCAGGCAACAAAAATAAGTCGTCATACAAAAGCACCATCATCAACCTTTACGGCCCCTGACGGTCGTTTTACTCATATTCACGCCGACCTTGTGGGTCCGCTTGACAGGACCAATGGATACGAATATATTCTGACTATCGTAGATCGCTTCACACGATGGCCTGTGGCCGTACCGCTATCGACGATAACAGCAGAAGCGGTGGTCAACGCTATCTTTCAGAATTGGATTTCAATATTTGGATTCCCTGCGGTTATTACTACCGACAGAGGCCCTCAATTCCAGTCAACTTTATTCGCTGAATTCGTCAACTTGCTTGGAATTAAACACATTTCTACTACGGCATATCATCCCTGCAGTAACGAATTAGTAGAACGTTTTCATCGACAGCTCAAGTACGCATTAACAGCGTCTACCAGTGCTCGTACCTGGGTAG